TAATTATGTATCATATGTTTGTATATATATTTCATGTTGTATATGTTGTAATCGCTGAAAAGCGGAAATAAAGAGTATATTAGCATAAATAACAATGTCGCCCGCATATAAAATTGAAATCACTTTAAACATATTAACATCTATTCCTTCCAGGTCATTATGAAAGAAAAAACCTTTTAAATTGTTTAAAAGCATAGAAAGAAGAAAGGGAGACAAACACACTCCTTTGCGTACGCCTAGTGAACATTCATAGCTATTACTTAACCTATTAGAATATTTAATTCTTGATTTGACTGAGTCGTACATTGATCTCATTATATTTAAAATATTACCACGAATCCCAAGTTTAATCAGTTTAAACCATAAGTTATCTCTCACAACATAATCAAAAGCTTTCGTGAAATCAATAAATGCCCAAAAAAGTTGCCTCCCCTGATTAATCATATGTGTAATTAAGCCATGCCATATAAATTAAAACGTTGTCAACGGTTCGCATAGATGACCTAAATCCAGCCTGTGCCTCTACATAAACACTATATAAATCTGCCCATTTAGATAATCTGTTATTCAATATACGTGTAAATAGTTTCCCTTACGTGCTAAGTAATGTGATAACCCTATAATTATTTACATCGTTTATACTACCTTTTTATGTAGAGAAGTTACAAAACCTTTCGACCATATATTTGGGAAGTACCCGTGTTCAAAAAGTTTATTGAATAAGCATGTTAAGGGTAAAACAAGTTTATTTTTACTATGAATAAAAAATTAATTTAAAAGAAAATCTGGACCACAACTTTTACCCGATTTAAGCTGGTACATAGTCTTAATAATATCATCTTCGGTAAATTTTACATTTAACTCATCAAACATAACGCTAAATTCACTTTTCTCATATCTATCCATAAAATACAAAATATCATTATCTGGTGTATAAAAATGGCTTTGTGGGTTGTTTACAGATTTAAAGTATTGTTCCAAAAGCATATTTTTGAATTTTTGAATGGTTAATGCCTGCATTCTTTTTCAACATATTCCAATACAATTTTGCATTTTTATACCTGGCCTTTGTTAATAGGGTATGTAAGTCTCGTCATGTGACTTGCGAGATTTCACGATATTTTGCACTTCCGGGTACAAACAAATATCAACAACATTGCTTATCTATATTGGGTAATACTTGTATGCCGGTGGGAAAGTAAATAAAACTTACATGGGAAAGCAAATGATATGTGGAAATTGGCAGAGTTTTTTGTTTTGTAACGAAATGCAAATGGTTTCATCTTGTGAACAAGTATCAATGAAAGACAACTTCGTATAATCTTCAGGTGGGTGTGTCATTTCAAATTCAGTTTGTCCCAATAAATGTTGTAATATTTTCATTTCCATGTAAATCTAATAAATTTGTTTCCATTTTGTCATATACATTCGTTTTTGCCTTTTCTTAAAAATCAGGATTTATATTGTGACCTTGCATTTATCAAGTTTATTTAATTTTCATCACTTTTATTTTCTCTGTACCTATTTAACATTCTATTAAAATTATTTTCTTCTCATGATATTCTTCACTAAATCAACGATTTTCAGACTTTGATACATTTATATTTTCATTCTGTTTGATATTTCTTGAACAATGGAGAAGCAACATCTTCCAATAATTCTGACAAATAACTAACGCTTTTATTAATATCTTGAATATTTCGAGCCAAATTAACATTCTCATTAAAACTGTTTAGTTTATGTACGAAATCAGCAGACGACACACCTTTTACAAAATCATTTTTACGGTCATTTGACCATACATATTTGTAATTAACAGATTCATACATACAGTCATTTCTACAATTATACAGTTTGTCAAATTTAAATGAAAATGATACAACACAATGATTAGATAATATGTTTGGGTCCGATACTTCAAAGCTTTTAACATAACATATTTTGTAATCCTATTAAATAATCTTCTGAATTACAACCTCTATGCCCGACACATGTAAATTGACCCTTTAAATTGTCATTTCCTACCCGACCATTTAAGATGCGTAACCCAGTCTGTTTACACAAATCTAATGTATCACTTAAAACTTATTTCTTATATGAATGTTAATTCAACCAGACACCCTTTTACTGTTTTTTAATCTCATTTCTATTTAAGACGAATTACTCGAAATTTTCAACATTTCAGTCAGATGACTCATCTGTCTATGTTTCACTGAATAAAACAATGTCATTATTATTAAAAATATTTCTAACTTGCGGCGAATTTAATTGATTTGTCCTTTTTGTAGCGATACCCTGTATATTAAGTAGCGCAAACCGTAGTGGTACCTTCTCCTGCACATACTATTGACCTAATTGTTTATCGTTCTAGCTCGTGCTGTCATTTTTATTTATAGAAACTGGGGAAATCCTGTTTTATCTTCTGTATGAACTGGCCGACCCAAAATGCTTTTCTGACCTAGACGCCGCACGAATATTTCATGCAAGCCCCTCTGAGGTAAAGCTAGTTTATCGCAACTATTTCCTGGTGTGTTATTGTTTGTTATTGATGACCTAGATGTAACAGCTCCATATTTGGGTGATGTGACACTGGCGTATGCTTCTACGGATTGTGTATCAAGGTTAAAGTACACTGCAGGCATATGCAGAATTTTCACTGTTATTATTGTTTGTAGTTTGATATGATTGTGATTATTGTTTTGATTTGTGTGTGATTCATATTGGTGAACATTTGGGTTATCGTGACAAACATTGGTTGGCTGTGTATTGTGTTCAAACATGTAGAATTGTTTACATTGTTACTGCATGTGCTATTCATTTGAGAAATAGGATCTTGTTCTTTTTGTAATGGTAATGGGATTCTATACCGAGGGCCATTGACTGAGTCATTTTAAGCAGGTAAGTTGCAAGTATTTGATTGTCTTTGCATGACGTCACCAGTTTTTTGTTGGCTAAATGCGATTGTATCCATGTGTTCCGGTCCTTTTCCATTTTGGGGATCATACTGACTCTGATATGATGGCTCGGCTAATTGGCTTGTTGTTTGGTCGTTCAGTTACTAATGTGTTCGATACTTGACAACCTACTAGCGTTTATATATCGTTGCCATTCGGGCTTTTCATCATGCACTAGCCTAGCATCCAGTATTAATTTAGCTGGATAGACAATTGTTACTTTTGACCTAGAATTTTCCTGTTTGCACTGTTTATATCTAGGCCACAGGAGAGATCGGACCTGCTGGATCTCTCTTGGTAGGTCAACACTGATTGAAAAGTGGGTATATTTCAACAATTTCGCTTTACTCAAGATGTACTCAGTATCACAATAGACTCTAAGATTTACCACTATTGGTCTGTTTTGATATATTTTTGTACGATCTTTTGCACCGATCCTGTGCGCTCTTGAAATATACACATCTCTCGAGTCAATATCGAGATTATTTTCCAGGAAGTTTCTTATAAAATTCGGACAGTTCTCACCTAGATTTTCAACAATACCTCGAAAAATCAAATTATTCCTTCTATATATATTGACTTGTAGGCTGAGTTTTCATGAATTCTGTTTGATTGTTTGTGTTATCAATAACTTGGTTAACTTTTATGTCAATATTTTCTGCTGACCTTTGTAATGCCATAATACCTCTGCAACTTTCAGCCTGTTCATTTCTCACAAAACGTAACTCGTCAAATATATGTACTAACTTATCGTCATGTGAACCTTCCACAAAATTGTGTCTTGTGTTATCTGATGAGCGATCCATTTTCAAATTTTCAATTTCCCGCTCTTGCAAAAATTCAAATCGATTCTGAACAGATACACCATATAACTCATTTGTTGTCATATTTTACAACGAAAACATCTATTATGTACTTTACTTTAGAAACAACATATATTCCGGTAAATAAGCAACTAAATTAATCTGAATTCCGTCTAAAATTTCAAATAATCAGCTTTTTTTTAACAGCTCAAAAATATCCGTCAACATTGTCCGCCATATTAAATTACGAATTACTCATCCATCAGAGTTCAGTATTAACTAATAATCAAATAGTAAATAACATTATGGAACTTATAGAATTATAGTGTCCTCATAGAATAAGAATGACCAATCAGTCGAAATGGCCTTTTTCAAAAGGTTACAATCATGTGTAATATCATTGAAAGAATCGTGCGGCCGAAAGTGTGCAGTTCTAATTGTGTTGTTATCATAGTCATAATGTTTTGTAAAAAGTGTGCAGCCGCCGTTGGCTTTAATAATTTAAATATGGTCAAAGCGTTGAAATGTAACATAAATTGTGTCAAAGAACTCGCTTTGAGGATTTGCCTTTTTGAATATTTACTGTTTAACGTGTATTAAAAAAGTAATAGTTGAATTTACCTCATGATATTATTTTTTAATTCATTTTTGATGTCTGGATAATCGCATTTTAAGTGTAAATAGAGACACGTAAGGTTAGGCATATCTTGTAAATAAATATACTTATTATAGAGTTATTAATTAAATATTGATGAAATAAAATGCGCATTTTCATTTTCTGTATTTTACCTGTAAAATCTTATTTTACACTGCCGTGAAACATATTTTCCGTATTTTCACTGGTGTCTTGATGGACAACTTTCTTTTAAATTTTGCCAGTACATACAATTTAAGGGAAAGTTCTTGCAATGGAAAAAAGAGAAAAATTTATATATAATAAACAGAAATTTCAAGATTTATTTTGTCATATTTCATACAACTTGATGAAAATAAATCATGTATTTATAGAAAAAACTTGAATAGCCTCTATATATGTTACGGTACTTTTATTCTTATTTGTTATGATGTATCCATTACATTTTTACCATGGTTTTTTAGTTAAGTAAACCGAAATAGATGGTATGGTAAATCCGATATTTGCGCTAAATTTGGCAGTGGTAATACCCAATTGCTACTATTTTTGGCACATTTGTATATTAATTTACGCGTAATTTTAATAGGAGATCAATTCACAGCGCGCTTCTAAGCGGATAACACGGCGCAAAAAGACATTCAGCTTAAGAGTAAGTACATTATTATCTATAAGATAATTACTATTACTCTAATAACTTAATTAAACGATGCACAAATAACAATACATCAAAAGTGAATCTTAATTAATGATTGTCACACTGAAACGGTTTAAGATTTATATAATGAAACAAATATCATTGTATCGGTTTAGGAAACAAAACTAAACTCGTTTGATTTGGACTAGATTCTTCTACAATCGTATAATTTTGTTTTAATACTTTGTATCTCCGACTGTTTCGGCAACTGCAACAAGACATTATGTTTTTATTATCATGTTGTATCTGTGAAGAAAATGTTGTGAAACGGGTGCCCACATTTGATGCATAACATTCCATTAGTCAGCAGCAGCACCGCTCGCACTTAAGACTTAAGCAGTTTCCAGTGCAATGAAGCATATCGATGCAAATTAAAATCTTAATTCAATAATATTTTATTGTATACTTGTGCATGATAAATTAAGACAATTGTACATCAGTGTCTTAAGTTAATACAAAAGGGTTGGACAAAAAGTGATATCAATATTATCTAGTGTCCTTTCTTACAGGCCGTTTAAGGCTAAAATTGCCATCATTTCATTTAAGTCAAAATCTTAATATTTTGTGTGTACAGAAACAGATATCAAACAGTTACTCATTTCCCTTATTAATGTGCCATGTTTTGTTTCTTTTTGCGATTTGGTAATAACTACAAATGTAGTAAGTTATCATCAGTCAAAATACCACTGTGTTTATATTTTGCTACCTTTATCACAAATTATTTCCAATTTAACGGTTATTTCTAATTCTTCAGGTTATAAGCATCTCACATGTTTTAATCCATAATAACAGCATAATTGTACTCATCTGTTCCTTTTACAAAATGAAAAATCATTCATTTGAAGGTATAATGTGCCTTTAAGGTCTATCTTATTGGCTTAATGGTAACATAATGCGTAAGACGTAATGTGGATTTTAGAAATTCTAAGGTTTAAACAAAGTATGCAATATAAGTTCCATATATTTCTCATCATTTTATACCCTAACATGCACGCAAATATTGAAGTGCAAATACGCTTCAACGAATAGAAAATTCCGTATGATGTTAGTTACAAATACGGTACCATATATGGAAGTACCGAACTATTTTTGACGTTTGTTCCGATCTCATTTGTATATAACGTAGCGTTTGGAAATGGGAACCAAAATTATTAAAGGTGTAGCCGGTTTTACAAAAATAACGTATTCATCCGCCTGTCATAAATTTATTACTTGACAGCTACATTTCCTTTTCAGAAATGACTAATAGAAGTATAGAGTATTGAACATCATTTTTACTTAAAATAAAAATGTATATATAAAAGGAATATTATGTTGTAGTATCTTTCTGAGTCTATGTATTTTATAAATTTAAATGTATATGACAAAGCATGGTACTGATGGAATCAGTAATAACATTCTTAAAGGGGCTACACTGAGGTCTGACAGGTAATTTGGTGTCCAAAAAAAAATGTGAACAAATTTCCTCACAAATCACAATATTATAACTAAAATAACAGTAACTTACACTTTAACCAACCCTCTAGCAACAATTATGCTAGAAAATGCATTTTCACATTAGCTTTTGATGCAAAAATGAAAGTTGGTTTTCCAAGACATGTACAGAAGTTACCCACAATTCATTGGGTATGACTAAAATACGCAACGCACATTTTTGGAACAGAGTAAACGGGGGTAAAAAAGTCTATTGATTTTTTCTCAACACTCTAAACTATCATGTTTATATAACTTGAGTACAACGAAGAAACACTGTATAAAAGATAATCAAGGTAGCAATTTCGTTGTCTTGAAAAATCAAACGCCAGCGAAGCGGACATTTTCTAGACAAAACGGAAAGATATTATATACATGTACAATTATTTTGATTGACATTTCAGTTTCAATTTCAATATTTTAAGGCAAACATAACGCATCGGTGATATTTATACTATAACGAGCAGAGTGTAATCACACTAATAAATGTATTTAACGCTATCTATAACGTATTTAAATCAAATACAGTTAATGACATGTCTCATTTGATTTGATTGTTTTTGGGATGGAGTGGGGGTTACGGCACACAAAACTGTGTAGGTCATTTTGGCGACTCTTCAGTTTTACTGGTGGAGTAAGAACTCCGGTGCCCCCTTTGCAAAATTGTTTCTGGCACAAACGGGCATCTGTGTATGAAATGAGTGACGTTTCGTAGGCTATCTAGGATCGTACATACACGTTCCACACACAATTACATCATATTCATACCATAGGCAAAATTAAATGCACGTTCCCTGTTGTAACAATATGAAACCCCAGAAAAAAACCTATGAACAAGCTTCTGAATGTGGCATTTCTATCGTTATTCCACAAAAAGCACCCACCCCCCCCCACACACACACACACAAAAAAAAAAAATGAGTACAACAATGGACATGCTCTTGAGTGTTGAGTACTATTACCTGCACTTCAGTTACGCACTGTGCATGTATATGAATTCAATTTAACTCTGACACGTTTTCAACAGAAAAGTCTTCTATGATACATTAAATTTTTATGATTCTATTAGAAACTTGTTAAGAATTTAATGCTTTTTCGGTGAAAACGATATAGTTTACTTGTACTACAGATAAGATCAAAGTGCTGAAGGCACTGAAGAATAAACCGGATAAACTAACACATTTTCACTCCAGTTTCACAGGTAAACGAATTTTATATGTCGCGGTTTACATCTTAATATCAGCTAACCTTTGCTTTTTGAGACTTTTGTTTTGAAAATAATCTAAACGAGTAAAGTAAACCCTCTTTTATGGGCAAATAATTTAATAAGTAGCATCCCCGATTTCTCTTTCATAAATTGGCATTAGCAAATTCTTTTCTATTCAAATATTAAGAACATTCTCTCAGGTACGTGTCGTCTACTTGAAATCTTCCCGGTGTGTATTTTTCGGTAACAGGAAGATAATGACAGTCTGTTTTATCTTTCGGTAACAGGAAGAAAATGACAGTCTGTTCATTTGATCATGACTGTGAAAAATCATGTTTTGTGAACCAATTTATCCAGCCGATAAAGATTTTGCAAGCAATCTGGTGGTTTATGTTCTAGTGCTTACATTTAGTATTTAATTCCAAAGAACATTTCTTAGGAGACCTTTAACGTTTGATTACGGTATAATCACTATAACCGAAATACTTAAGAATTAATTTTAATTCCTGTTACTGTGAAATTTTTCGTTCATGTGTTTAAAATACTTAAGTAGCTCTATAAATTTTCAAAACGATATCCAGTATTTCCGAAACAATTTAAAAAGGCTTTTAATACACAAGTATTACGTGAACCACCCACCTAATCTCCAGAACATACATACGAAAAACAAGATAAATCAAAAGGCTGCAAGCTCTGTGGTATTTCCTGATCTTTGCAATCTAAATCGCACTGTATAACTGTATTATTTTCCTGTATAAGTTTATCTTTATGTACTATATTTCTTCTTGCTTGATACCAGAGTTTGATACATATGGAATTTTGCATGACTAGAGTTGCATCAAAAATCATTTATGTTCATTTTTATGACAGCCACACTTTATCCTTGCATATCGTGGCTATTTCCTTCACAAAAAAACTTTATAAAAAATAATTGCCCCGAATTGGATTTGAACCCCAGACACACTAAACGAGCGCGTTACCCTTGCACCACGAAGAAGATATACGAGCAATGCCTGAATAAAATCAAGTAATACTAAATTTAAATTTTCCATTGCATTTCGGGTTTGTAATCCTTATTAATTTCGAGGTTTTTTTTGTTCAAGATAAACCTGTTGTTTAACATTAATGTAAATAATTTAACAAAAACTCGACATCGCTTAAAATAGCATTTTCATTGGTTAAAATGATATTTATCCGCGTAATTTGTGAATGTGCATTCATTGACAATTTCATTACCCAAAGCTACTTTTAAACTTTGAATGCGTTGTAATTTGTTGGATACTTATAACAAAATGAAAATATTTCTTTCTTTTAAATCGCTAGTTTTCAGCTGTTTTAAGAACTGCTGGTTGTTAGGTTTGTCGTGAAACCGCTGTGTCAGAGATTGAATGTTAGCTTTGTATTTCCTGATCTTCGATCAGAAATACAAAAAGGAATGGTAGCATTCAATGAATGCAACACCCACACGACCAAGCAACACAGGACCACAGCTAAATTATCAATAAAAAATTTAATTTCAGGCTTTCAAGTGGTAAATAAAAAGACTAAAAAAAAGAAAAACAGGAAGAAAGAAGAGACAAAAGTAGAGTAGGTTTTAGTGCTATAAAGCAAGAAAAGCAGGGTTCTCTTCCTAACTTATTTATGCAATGAAATGCACCCGATCAATATTTAGCCATTGCAGTTTTTGAAACCAGTAACTCGTGTTTTCAAAATAGTCGGAAAATGACCCTGATCTTTTTTATCAAAATATTTACAAAACTATTAACAATGAGTATGCCATGATAAACAGGCTATTAGGAGTAAAAACAATGGTAAAGAAATGCATTGCCCTTTCCCAAGTTTGTAAACCGTCTAGGAGTTGGAAGTATTATAAAACATAGTTTAAGCAATGGTTGTTGTATGCGGTGAGGTTAATAATATCTAACTGAATTCTTAAAGTTACGTAATAGTTATAGTATATGAAACGAGTTAGTTACGAGGGTATAACAATTTTTTTGCAGAAACATCCCGAGATGTCGCCCCAGCCAGTGTTATACCCCCGTAACTAACGAGTTTCATATACTATAACTGTTTTATCGCAATGGCATAATGTTTTCTTTTTTGTATAGAAACAAATAAATAAATTAATCGTTAGCTACATTACAGTTATTTTATCATAAGCCAGTTTTTCAAGTTGTTTTCTCTGCCGCAAAAAAAATATACAAAAGACATCCAATATAAGAGGCGGATTGTATACTGTTACCAAGATTGATTTAAGATTTAAGGGCTTTTTTCA